AAAGGGACTAACATGTCATAATATTCTTTGCTTTTAAGAAATCAATACCTTAAAACATATTTTTGAAAAACATCCGTAGGAAATGTTTAAATATACACTTCATTAAAAAAATATAGCAGATCCTGTTTTAAAAGAGAAAGTAAAATTGTTGATTAACAACGCGGTCTTTGTTTTAGACTATGCCTAACACTTGTACTAATTTTCTCCGCACTTCAGTTATATCAGAGTTTGTCAATCAGGATTGGATGAAATATTTACCCCATTATTTATAAAAATTTGCAATTTTACGATTATTTTGCTTTTTTTCTAAACATTTAGACAATCTTTGTTTGCTTTATTGATTCGCCAGTGATATGAATGTTGAATACTTTCTCATTTAAATTGTTAACTCCCCAGAAACGCACAGCGACTTAAAACTTTCATATCATAAAACCGACCGCCTCCTGGCGGCCTAATAAGGAAAAAAAGGGTTTTTCAGTGAAGATGATAAAACATCTTTTACCAGCAATCAGTCACTAGCGAGCTCAATTTTCGCCAAAAAATTAAAATATTTTGTTATTTTAAACCCCCCCCCTTTTCACCCTTTTTTTGTTGAAAAAAATGAAAGTCTTTCGAAATGTCTGGAAACATTTATTACAGGACATGTTTTCAAAAGAAAAAGGCTATCAAAATCATGTTTACTGCCAATTTTATTTATAAAACCGGTTCTACCCTATAAGCTTTGAATAATAACCTAAACCACGTGTTTGAATTTAAATCACAATAACATTAGAAGGGCTGTGCTGGTTATTTGCATTACTTTTTTTTAATTTTATTGCAGTTGTTTTTAAAACTTGTAAAATGTACAGCAATTTTAAATTCTTGGCATCTTACTTTTCCCGCATTAACGAAGTTAAAATTATCCCCTCGCGCAACTTGTTGCAGAGGGGATATAGCATCGCGAATTGGGGAGTATGTGTTCGTTACCGTGTGGGGATATTGACAAACCTTTCATTAACCATTTTAGCGTTAATTTTTGTGTGGCAGTATAAAGGACGAAGCCCATTAAATTTTTAAAATCATTGATGAAAATTTCTTGAATTGGTTTTTTGCCTTGAAACCCCCACATTTTATTTACCAGTTGACTATAATATTTGTGGGCAAGTTCAAGAACTTTTTCATTAACCACTCTTAGCGTTTACATACTTGTGTGGCAGTAAAAGGAAGAAGCCTATTCATTTTTAAGTTTTTTTATAAATATCTTCAGATATGATTTTTACCGTTTAATACATTTTATGTACGAGTTGGGAAAATCGTTTTCGCTAGGGGAAACCCGTTTTAAAGCCGTGTCGAGTCTGTGGGAACCGATTTGAAGAATTTGATAATTTCGGTTTTTCCCAAAAATTCCAAAAGGTGTCTGGGGAATTTTTGGGGGACATTCCGAAAGCTTAAAAAAAAAACATATGGGCGTCGGAAGCAAATTGAAAGTTGGGCGGGGGGTGGGGGCTAAACCAAAAAAAAAGGAAAACCCCCAAATTTTTAATGTACATTTGTATAGAAATTGTCTATATTTGCAAAAAAGTGGGGAAAACTAACAAACCCAGACCCCCCCCTATCCCGGTTCCGACACCTATGCCACAAGTTCAATTAAACTCTCATGCACACTGTTATTTTTCATTACGAAAAAAAATGCATTGCCTGTAACTTGGAAAACTTATTAGGTAGGTAAATAATAAATATTACTGAAAATAGTACATGTAGCATACAAAATTTGTTTCTGCTAGGTATAAGGAAAATGCCCAATTAATATTTTTGACCCCCCCTCCCCTTACAGCTAGGCAATTTTATATTGTTAAAAAACCCCCACCCCCATAATTTTCTGAAAAAAAAAATAAATAGTGCTAAAAAAATTTTAAAACATTAATTAAATTTACACCCAAAAATATATCCATGCACCCCCCCCCCAACCCAAACGCCATGACTATACATTTTGTGAAGAAAAATGGATAACAACAACATCCCCTAATTTTTTTGTCAAAAAAGGGGGGTTATCCTTATGGGTTTGATAAACACTGTGGGGCGAGGAGATGGTCCTTCAAATAGACCCTGTAAACCAAGGGGGCCCTTCCCCCGTAAAGCTGGTAAAAAAAGATCCCCCCAGTACTTAATAGCCGTCAGTGCCTATTATAGGAAAAATTGTAGCTCTCAAACGGCAAGCCTTCATATGAGCAAAAAACCAAGAGGGACATTAACAAGTGGGTTAAGAATCTTTAACAGTTTAACGTCCATCTTAGAAATTTTTATCTCATGAGATATTGCCATTACCAGTGAATTCCCGCCGCGCGGGGATGCTCCGCTTAGCGGTGCCCTTGTTTTTTTTGCTACCAGTGCTATATGCATATAGTTACACTTATGTAACCAATTTTAAAGATTGATTATTGTTTTTTAACGCCGAGTGGCAATTTTAGCCAATTTTGGCGGAGAAATTTAAATATTGTATGAACGGTTTTCCTGGGGCCCCCCTAAGCCTACTCTTTTTGTAACTTCAAGAAAGATCTTTTACGTGCCACGGGGGGTTTTTTCCCTTACTCCGGGGCCATTTAACCCCATCCTCGGAATTTGAATTTAACAAAATTTGAATATTCAAAAAAACATGTCCCTACCGGGTTCCCCTTATTCTTCAGGATGTCATTTTTTAATGTAAAAGTCATGTCCAAGGTTAAACTAAAGATTTTGAATTGTAAAGCCTTAAATCTAAAAAATAAAAAAATTAAGACGAAATTCAATCATTTATCCATCGTCTTTTCCGCGCTTCATATTTTTGTCAAATAAAATTAGGAGTTGAACCCGATCTTAATTAAGCGATTATGTAAAATTTCAAAAGCCATAATTCTGTAGAAATCAATGAAGCGAAACGAAATTCAAACTTGATCTGTAACTCATTAAAATACACTCACTTACCAAAATTCAGCTCAATATCTGCAAGCGTTTAAAAAAAAGTGCGGAAAACCAAGTGGGAATGAAAAATATTCAAAATGCCATAATTCTGTCAAAAATCAATGAAGCGAAACGAAATTCAAACTTGATCTGTAACTCATTAAGATACACTCACGTACCAAAATTCAGCTCAATATCTGCAAGCGTTTAGATTGATTGATTGATTGTATATTGTTTAACGTCCCTCTTGAGAATTTTTCACTCATATGGAGACGTCACCGATGCCGGTGAAGGGCTTCAAATTTAGACCTATACTCGGCACTCAGGGCCATTGAGCAGTGAGGGTTCTTTATCGTGCCAACGCCTACCGTGACACGGGACCTACGTTTTTAAGGTCATATCCGAAAGACCCGTGACTTTCACTTCTAGTGCCGAGCGCTTGGCGAAGGAACAGTCACTACCTTTTTACTTTAGGTATGACGCGGCGCCGCGATCGAGAATCGAACCCGGGCCTCCCGATCACGAAGCGAACGCTCTACCACTAGGCTACCGTGACCGGTGCAAGCGTTTAGAAAAAAAAGTGCGGAAAACCAAGTGGGACAGACTGACGGGGACAGACAGACAGACGGACGGACGGACGGACGCAGAGGAAACCTATAGTCCCCTCCGGTTTTACCGGTAGGGGACTAAAAATAAAAACATTTAAATTCAAATATACAAACTTTTAAGGTAATAATCAATTTGAAGGAGGTAGCATTAATCAACTTAACAATTTCACAATTTTGGTAAAAGGCTCAATGCTGATTACAATCATGTAAACAGTTTGCCTTCTTGATGTCCAGGAGTGGTTTTAGTGGGTTAATTTTAGTGGTTTTGGCCCAACCCCTCATGCCCCCCGGAGGACAGGGGCCATGAAATTCACAATTCTTGTTCCCCTTCATACATATATGCTTTATGCCAAATTTGGTTGAAATTAGTTGACCAGTTGCAGAGAAGAAGCTCTAAAATGTTCAAATTTTAATACACGACGGACGAAAGTGGATAGCAATAGATCACCTGAGTTTACTCAGGTGACCTAACAATTAACGACTGATCAATGTTGAGTGAAGAAAGAAATCCTTGTGAAATTATTTGCTTAATATTAGCTGAACAAGCCTGCTAAGTCTATTTTGTTATAAAATAATAATAATAATAATATAGTCCCAAAATTTTATCACCATGTGCATTATTCTCATTAAGACTTCGTTGAAAAGCGATTATCAAATAATTCAAACTTTCCTTATTTCACAATATAATTTACTATTCTGATTTCAACCCATGGGAATACATGTACGTGTTTAAATTTAATTCGGTAAAATGAACTCAGGTTATTTTCGAGCTCCCTCAACTCCCCAGGTAAAAGGTGACAGTAAATTAGACAACTGTGAGGTTCTCGCGTTTAAAAAAAAAACAGTAATCAGGACATTACAACTTAGCCAATTCTTATATCAAACAGAGAAAAATGTAAATTTCCATGAAGTATAATAATGGCTCCGTTACACTGCATATCTTTGCCCCCGCAGTCAAATTTTAAAAATTTCTTAAAATGTCCTAAATTGAATAAACAATACGAAAAATATTTATCAATTAAACATAGTGTAATTCAAAGTAGGTCATTGACAATTTGTTTCATGACGCCACAATGTAGTCGGATTTCACATTATTTTTCAAAAAAGGACACGATTCCCATAACTTTAGCTATAGAATTTATAGAGGACAAGTCTGCTGAGGAACAATATTTGCATAATTATTTGACATTATCATTGTACACATTATATCAAAATATTGGTTTTAAGCAGACCTGTGCTCGGTGATATTCACTCAAAACATCGACGCAATATTTACATTTTTCTGTGGAAATTTTAAATTGACGTCATATTCCTGACGTCTTTTAAAACATACGAGGCCTTTACCAATGAACATATTCAGTGCTTTTAAGTCAGTATCTATCCCCCTCCTTTAGAACATAATTAAATATTACTCCGTCGAAGTTTGATTTTGGGTGCAAATGTTGGTTATTACCGAATCAAGTCCTTTTAATTTACCTTACCATTGCACTTTCCACTACACTCATTTCTGCAGTTTGTGCCATAGAAACCAGACTTGCAACCATGTAAGCATCTTCCAGTTGACTGTTCACAACTTGTTTCATTTGTAGTCTCGCAACCACTACATGAATCGTTGCAAAAAGCGCCAAAGAATTTAGCATTACATATTCCAGTGCATTTTCCAGTGTCTCTTGTACAAGAAAGGCCCTTACAATTTACAGAGCAACTCATTTGACACATGGCACCATAATGCCCATTTTTACATCCCTCTACACAGTTACCAGTATTGGCTTCACAAACTCGGGAATTGTCCGTAGGCTGTTTGCAGTTTGAATTGCACTGAGTAAGGCACCCCTGACTGTAATAGTCAGTCTTGCAAGATAAACAGATACCGACAGAGCTGCACTCATAACAGCCCACTGGGCATAGTGTCTGGCAAAGATCATCATAATACCCAGGGCTACATCCATAGCTGCAAACGGCGCTCTGGCGGTTGCAAGCTTTATTTTTGCAGTTCACTGGACATGCAATCTCGCACTGACTACTGTACCAACCATCAACGCAATTTCCACTGCATGCTCCGGTAAACTGGTCGCATGCATTACCAATACAATGACTTGTAATATTGCAAACCTTATTACAGGAAGCTCCGAAAAACCCTGCCGTACATTCTTGGCACGTTCCATCGTCCTTCTTGCATCTATTTAATTTACAGTTTTCATTGCAATCATTCTGGCAAGCATTACCCCATTTTCCTGTCGAGCAAGCCTTACACCCCGTCGTTCGGTCACAGTTTGTGCAGTTTCCACAAGTCTCACTGCACATTTTGCCATAGAATCCGGGTCTGCATTCCAGACAAGTCCCGTTTCTGTCGCAAACACCCCCTTGACAGTTCGCGTGGCACTGCTGATCACATAGATTTCCATAAAAGCCATCAGGGCAAGCGAAGCAAATACCATTTTCAGCATTGCATAAGCTCCTCATGCAAGCACTATTACATGCATTTGAACCTAAAATATTTTTAAATAAAAACATAGAGTATGTAAAGTACTGACTATATGTAGTGTATGATATTGTGTT